ATATTTGGGATCACGTTGTATTTTAAAAATAAGATTTTTATAAAAACATCTTTTTTTTTTTTTACAATTTAAAATATATTATTGTTGATTAACCATTAGATCAGCTCAAGATACCAATTAATAAACACAGAATAGTGACAACACTGTATATGTAAATGGAATAGAAGAAACAAATTAAGTGAAAAGAAATAAGAATAAAAATGCAAATTTTATTTATTTACCCCTACAATTTACCTCAATCAGATCAACATCTTGATTGACCCTGTGTTTACTGTCTACATAACCTGTGTTATGCCTGACTGCCCCTATTTTCTTGCCACTTGTATGATTCATGCACATGGTATGGCACTCACTATTAAACGCTTGATTTTGCTTGACAGCAGGAATGATAACAGAAAGTGCTGACAAAATGCTTTTTTTTTGCATCTACCATCTTTTAATAATTTATCTCCTATTGGCTTGATTAAAGAATAATAAGAGGGTTTTCATGACTTTGAGATAGTATTAAATGCATCTTTCATGGAACCAGTTTTTCCTTATATTTAGTGGGGGAAGTAGCCTTCTCTCTTGATTTTATCACAACTTGCATTACAGATAGTCCTTGCTTTAATGACCCTAATTGAGACCAGAATTTCCATCACTAAGCAAAATTATCATAAGGTGAATTACCACATGATTGCATAATTTAGCGACAGCACCTCTGCTTCCCAGTTATGATCATTAAGCCAGAACCTCACACTCTTTTTGGCCATATCGTGCTGTACTCCATTTCAATTCCCCACACCTGCCTATCCCTGCACTTCATCACCACTACCTACCTCTGCCTACTCCTGTCAGCCCTACCTGACGTTCACTATTTTCTTCCACTGTTGACAAAGTATGTCTGGCGAGGTAGCTGCTGGCCATTTGTGAGACCTTCCTGTGGCCTTGCAAAGCAATGGGGAGGCCTTGTGATGCCATGTGAATGTCTTGTGCAGCATTCCAAAAATGTCAGTAGCTGCTTCTTCTGGACACACTTCATTGGCAGCATGAAGAAGATGGCAATAGTCAGCAGAGGGCAGAAGGGGCAGGAGGTGACATCAGGGAAAGGACCACTGGTGGGTTGTTAACTGGTTTACTACCAGGTCACTCATGCTCATGTGGTGCTTGCGCACATGTGTAATGCTTTTGTGCACGTGTAACACTTCTGTGCATGCACAGAAGCGTCCAGGCAGGTGGGTGGAGCCTCCCTCCACCACCACTACCGGTTCAGCCAAACCGGGAGCAAACCAACTCTGGTAACGACAGCCAAAAGGATGGAGGGAGAGAGGAAATAGACAGGTAAGGAAAGTTGAAGTGCATGCTGGCAGCTTTCCAAGCACTCAAATTATATCACATGACCAGGGGTACTACACTGGCTGTAATTTGGAGGACTGGTATCATCATAACTTTGAATGGTCTCTAAACAAATGGTCATTACGCAAGGACTACCTACAGATTATAAAGCCTTGTAGATTGAGACAGTTCTGCTTGTGCAGTATTGCTTACAATCAAGGAAGTGATCTACAGCACTCCTGTTACTGCAGTGGAAGGTAGCATGTTAGGAGAAGGGAGAAGGATTTCATTTGCTTCCTCTTATTTTCAGACATACAGGCTTGATCAGACAAACTGAAGGCTTAAAAGAAGGGTGGCTAGTTCTAAGTTTTCAGAAAGTATTCTCTTTTATAGACACTAATCTACAGAGCTATACAGAAGTATATATTGACATTAAGTTAATTCTTCACTGTGAACAGATGCAGTGGTAAACTTACCTCTAACATAGATTATTTTACAATTATGAAACATTTGTGTGGTGTGAGGTCATTGATTCCATTTTGTGTGTGTGTGTGGGGGGGAAATTGAAAAAGTATTTTCTTGCTTCTCTGAATAGCTCAGAGGTGTCCAACCTTTTGGCTTGCCTGAGCCGCATCAAGTGAAGAAGAATTGTCTTGGGCCACATATAAAATATGCAATATAATTAGTGTATATAAACACAAGGTATATATAAGCATATAAACATAAAGTTTAAAGTTTATGTTCTTGTGGGACCACATTATTAGCTGTCCAGGGCTGCATGTGGCCCATAGGCTGCAGGCTGGATACCTCTGGAATAGCTAATAAAAAGAATGGGGTTTTTTTTTGTTCCTTCTCTTCCTTTGTGTAGGTGGGAAGTTTAAAGATATCACTGTTTCACTATCCAAAAATAACGAGTCTGCTCAACTTCATGAATGGTGGGTTTTAAACCAGAAGAACAAATTTTTGGAGTCAAATAAAACTAGATTGGAACTAATTGTGTTCAGTGACAAAGTCAGTCCTCCCAGTCTTGGATTTTTGGCAGGTTATGGGTAAGCAAATACTTCATGTTAACATTGTTGTGTAATATAAGAAACATTGTTTATGTTTTTTTATGTTGTGTAATATAAGAAACATTGCATTACTGTTTTTATTTACATTGTATTGAAGCAAACTTTGCTCACATGTGATCATCTGAAGGAGACTGCTTTCATTGCCATTATCTCCAAAAATCATGTCCAAATTATCAAGTGATTATGAATGGCTGAAAAAGATCAAGTTCTAAAGGCTGTAAGATAACTGAAAACCCTAGATGATAAAATATATGCAAAGGAGTCTGTCATAACTATTCTCAACAACTACCATACATATAATATAGGCATCTATTCAGATGTATACAGCTATAAAGTAAGTCCTCTCACAAGCCTACACTGTTCAACAGTTATGGATCCATTTTGGAACATATACTCCAAAGACCTCCAAGACAGTCAAAATTGGTCCCCAAACTGCAGTTTAAACTGCATATTTTTCTAGTTTTTGATAGCAACTGCTCTCGTGTCTGATAACATGTTTGGGCATAGGTGTCTCTGCTTTCGTACATTTTAAAAGGTGATTGTTATCAGTTCTTATCACATCACGTTTATCCTTATGACCAAGTAGAAGATCCTGTAACTGGATGGTATTAATGGTAGTTTTACCATCAATAAAACAGAATCATAAATTGGACTGAATCCAGATAGTTACATTTTAATGGAAAAATTTATTGGGGCTGAAAGCTCCCATAGCTAATTTATCCCATCAATTTGCAATTTGGGTTAAAATATAGGCAACAGAGTATAATCCAGCCCACCACCTTTTTCGACATTAATGAGGGTGAATGATAGAAGAGCTTGAAAGCGGATAAGTGGTTTACAATTACAGTATATAGAAGTCAACTGCCCCCCTAATCAGAAAAACAAACATCATTCAGACCATTGGAGTACTCAAATGGGAAAAAAGAGATGCAAAAAATTAACCAAAGGACTGCTTGAGACTTATAGTTGGCAATTGCTGATTTTATGCTCTACATATAGTCCTCGACTTACAACCATAAATGGACCTGGAATATCAGTTATTGAGTAAAACAGTCTTTAAGCAAGATGTCACATGATCACTTTATTTAACAGCTGCAATCATGAGACTCTCAGTTGCAGTTATTATGCAATCTTGTGGATTATTAAGTGGACGGAGTCCCAGGTAAAGAGTGCAAAATGTCTTGGGGCGGAGAGAGAGACCAAGGTCAGGTGTGAATTGGGGGGAGGGGTTGCTGTGGACAAGTCCTTCAGCTTTGGGGCTGAAAATCTAAGGAAGATTTTCAGCTGGTCATGGGAGAGACACTTGCACACAGCCTAGGCTGAGCCATCCCACCCATACCTTACCACTTTCCTGAGGCATCCCATACCCCTTATCTAGCCATGCTGCATCTCTGCTCTAGGCCTGTCTATCTGTCTCTTTTCAAATTATTGCCCATTTTAAAATATTAATGTTTTTCTTTCATGTTTTGCAGAATTATGGGTTTATATGCTTCAGTTGTGCTGGTAATAGGAAAATTTGTCCGTGAATTCTTCAGTGGAATATCCCACTCTATTATGTTTGAAGAGCTCCCCAACGTGGATCGTATTCTAAAGCTGTGTACAGATATCTTCTTAGTGCGGGAGACTGGTGAATTAGAACTAGAGGAAGATTTATATGCTAAGCTAATATTCCTGTACCGTTCACCAGAGACTATGATCAAATGGACCAGAGAAAAAACAAAGTGATCTAATTGGAGTTCACAAAATTTGGATTTTTCTTTTTAAAAAGAAGCACAAAATTCACTTTTATAATTGGGAAGCAATTTTTTGTTCATGGAATTTGCTTGTTTCCTTAGGGGGAAAAAGCTTTTTTTTCCAGATGCAAATGTTATTAACATGAAAGACATTTTATTTCCAATTTAGTGAACAGCGTTATCTGCAACCACATCTAAGTTAATTCTAAGCAGAAAAAAGATATCAAAACAGAATATGAGATCTTTTGTCTGAAAATAAATCTTGAACTGTGCAATTTGCTGTTTGACATCAGTGATTTTCAAGGATCTGCCATGATCCAAGTTGCTCATCTAATCCAAGGCAATTGATCACAGTTGGTGCTGAAGGCAATTTTATTATTTGCATTTCTAGGAAAACAGATCTGTTAAAGACTAAATAGCTGTACAATTCTGGATGGGAAAGATCGAGTGATATAATCATTAACTGCCTTATTTTATTTGAACAATTAAGGAAGATATTGAAAACATCAGTGACTTTACTCAGGAAAATAAACTTCAATCTTCAACTAAAGGATAGTTATAGAGAAATATTGTGATGTTTTTGCTGGGGCCATTTTCTCCACCTGACAAGATAAATATTAAAAAGTAATGAAAAATAAAGAACACAGTTGAATCATGAGCAGCCTTTGTGGGCTAATCGTTTTCTTCAATCACTACAAATTGTGCTTTCCCCTATTTTGACATTTTAATGCAATGATATGACTTGTATCCTTGTATCCATTTCCTTCCAGTGTTTCAGGTATATCATAATGTTTACATATTCCACTACCCATTTTTATGTCCAAGATGTCTTTTTAAAATTCCTAAATTATTGCTATACATGACACAGGCTGTTTAGCAAAAGACACTGTAGCATGAATATTTAGTGCTGAAAAATAGTTTTGATTTGATGATTTAAAGCACACTGTTTCTTAACGTGAATTAATTATAATTATTATATGGTAAGAAATTATGCCATCATTTCCAAATATAATGTCGTTAAAAGGTATCGGAAGTGCTATTCCCAGAGCATCATGTTAGCTAGAGATGATGGGAAACCCGTAGACTTACACAGCTGGAGGGAGCCAAGTTGGGGAAGAATGGAATAACTGTAGTTTTCATTCCATACCGATTTCAAACAAAGTTCTTGTTCCAAAGACCATCTTAAAAGTATTTTTCCTATGCTTGTTTACACTGAATGAAATTCTCTTTGTATAAATTAAATATGTCAAACTTGTGAATGTGTCCATTATCATTAAAAATGATCTAAATATTTCCTATATATGATGATGTAGTAAGTTTCAAAAATATATGACATTGTGGTAATGGCACAAACTAACATGAGAGTAAAATTACTTGTGTATTAGTTTGTTAAACTAAATGTAATATGGTGGTGATGCTTAGAGTTGACTGCTTCCATGAAAATATTGCTGGTACTCTGCTGTGAAAAATGGCACATTTTGACACTGGGAAAGGTATACTGAAATAAACCATTTTACCATACTCGAATAATAGAATGCACCATGACTGCCACTCACTCATTCAAACATATTTTAATTTCCAAAGAAACTATAATGACAATGAACAGAATCAATAATGGATATGTTGACAATGAGGGGGAAGAAAGCAACTTGCAACTCTTTTGTTATCTTCAATTGGCCTAACAAAAATGTTGCCTTTTTATAGGCTTTTATTGTTTTCCAATAACAAGAAAATAATTACAGTGACTAACCAAAAAGACTATCAAATTTATAGATGAAATATTAACTGATGTTTATCTTGCATACATGGATTCTCTAGGCAGGGGTGTCAAACTCACGGGCCGAATGCGTCATGTGCAGGCCACACCTATCCCAGCTTCGCAAAGGGAAAAAATGTGATATATCACATGACATCAACGTGATGCAGCGAGTTTGACACCGATGCGCTAGAGAAATCTGACTCACCGACCCTTGTATTTCAATGTCTTTTTAAATAATTCTGTGCAGCTATTTGAGAAAACTGTCATTGCATCTTACAAAATAAGATGGAGTCCATTAAACAGGCACCAATTAGAAATTGTTACCATAGTAAGGCATCATGTGCATTTTTCTTTCTTATTTTTTTCTACTAAAACAAGGTTCTCCTGTGAATCCTGAAACAAAAAACACTTTGCACCTGGTATCCAATCTCCTCACAGTGGCCACTGGCTAGGAAGCCCACATCTCCGAAATAGCTATGGCAACCTTCTTTCATTTGCCCACCAGTAACTATAACCAAAAGCACACTGCTTCTGCTCTTGGAAGCTCCACTTAACTGTAGCTGAAATTCTCTATTTAAAATGTAAAATCTTTTTAAATTTTCTCCATTTAAAATTAAATCTTTTAACATTATCTAGAAACATGGTCATCACAAAGTAGCTTTCGTAAATGTTTTTCGGCCAGAACTTACTGGTAATGCAACCTATCTTAATTATCACCACCACCATGCCCACTCCTCACATTCTATTGCTACTTTCTCCTCTGTGAAGTACTAGGTTTTGCAAGTTATTCCAATCTCCCCTCCTTTTTCTTGGACAACAACACCTTTGAGAAATATGTTCCAGTTACAAAAACAGGCTACTGAAGTTGTTTTTGTGTTACAATAAGAGTCTACTAATGCAGTCCACAACTTGATCAACTTCGATAAACAGTCTTCAATACTGTTTTGACAATATTTGTTTTATTTTTTTGCAACTAGTGCTCATTTTTATTAAAAGACAATATTTAACAGTGAGTCAAAAACAAGAAATCCATGTTGCTTCTAAAATACTGTCTACTAAAATGTATAAAACCTCCATGCATGCCTTATGCTTTCAAAGTGATGTATTCTGTAAAAGTGCAGTGTGTACCATAAATGTTTGAATCTTTCTGATTCACAGAGTTAGCAATTTATCCTCTACACCACCAAAGCAGATTCAATTCTTACATGGAATCCCACTTGCATGTGTATTGAAGGAATAATGTGCTTCTACGTGCTATTTTTTTGAATGCATATGTATAAAACATACTTTTTTTTAAAAAAAAGTGTCAGTTTAAAAAAAATACATATTGATGCAATTCACTTAGAAATGAACTTCAATCTGTTCAAGAACCCTAGCCTTCAACAGGAAAAATGGATAGAATGCATTCCTCTTGCCACTGAATAAACAAGCCTACCCAGTCACAGCTAAAATTAAAGGCATGATTCTAATGCAGATTGTTCAGCGTCCAAAATCCTGGTGGGGCTTTAACAATTGTTGTAAACAATTACAATTATATAGAAAATGGATTTGTAAAATGGAGGCAAAAGGAATGGCTTCCCTCTCCTCTGAGGCAACAGGAAACTCCAAGCATTGTATTTTTGAACCAACAAGGAAAAGTAATGGGGTTTTTTTTTTCTGTAGTGCTACCTATTGTGGACTACATGTATTGCCATGAATCTTGAAGTTCACATTGTATGAGAAAGAGCTTTATACAAGCTAAGCTTTTCATAAAGAGAAGTCAATGTGATTGGCCCCTCCGGATTGCAGTATCTTTTCTATAAATATATTTCAAAGCAACAAATGCACTGTTTCAAGAAAAATTACAATTTAGTCTTTGGTTTTGATAATAACAGAAAAACACAGTGGCAATGTGATGCAAAAAATATGCTATTGATATTCTTAATCATTGTAATTATTTAAAAAATCTCTTCTTGATTAAAGTTTCTTTTAACAATAAAATTTCTCTGCTGCTATTCTTCTATCCTAAATGTCTTCAGTACAGGAATCATGCATGACTGCACATACTAGCCTTCTGGATAATAGAGTTTTTTTCCCCTTCAGTGCTAATTATTGAAGTGTGCATCAAAGATCTGCATATATGAAAATCAGTACAGTGTCGGCATCAATGCTTCAAGCTCTGCATTAGAATATTTTTAGCTGTTTAGTATAATTTTTATTATGTCCTAGTAGTAGACTGTTCTGGAAACAGCAGAGTCAGGAGCTGATCTGGGCATCTGACTAGAGCAAAATATGGTCCTCCTCTGCTTTTTCTACCCTCATAATACCCTTTAGAGGAAAGTGTTGTGGGTGACTGTCACAAGGATCATTCATTGGAGGTAGAGGAAATTCTCAGAGGACTCTACTATAGCAAAATAATACCAACAATACAAAATAGCAGCTAAAGAAATTTATGTTTAGCACAAAGGGGATAAGAATGGGGGGAAAGGGAGGATTTTTTAAAATCTCCATGGGGTGAAAAACAATCAAAGAACTGAGGGGATAGTTAAATGATTGGTCAACTGCAAAATAAGTGAGTTATAGCAATAGCAGTAAGACCCCAAAGATAAATTCCTTGTGTGTCCAATCACACTTGGTCAATAAAGAATTCTATTCTATTCTATTCTAATACTTAGACCTTTATACCACTTCACAGTGCTTTATAGTACTCTCTAAGTGGTTTGTAGAGTCAGCATATTGCCCCCAACAATCTGGGTCCTCATTTTACTGATCTTGGAAGGATTGTAGTCAACCTTGAGATGGTGAGAATCGAATTGCTGGCAGTCAGTAGAATTAGCCTGCAATAATGCATTCTAACCACCATGCCAGTCACGGCTCTTTGTTCCTATATTTATCTATATTTGTACCTAGTTATGTTGGAGTCAAATGATACTGGAATGTAATACTGAGGAGGGGTTTTCAAGAGTGAGTTTTCACTGTAGTGCTCAAGGTTGTCTTTTGGGGAACTAATACCATAAGCAAAATTGCCTTTTTCTTTTCCACTCATCCCAAACTATGCCTAACACAAGCTTTCTGAGCATTTTTTTTCTTTTTCTCCCTTCACTGTAAGTTCTTCTCTGACATCTATGTCTTACAAACTTAACGTTTGAAAGCCACTGTTTCATACTAGTTTTTTTCCTCCCTAGACAGAATTAGGATTTGTTTTTGTTTTGTGTTTAACCACAGCCGTGACTCTTAATTTTTTTTTCCTGTTC